GTAAAATTAAAGATGTGCCATGGACATTACCGAAAATAATAACTTCCGTTCAACAGTCAGATCAAAAAGTTCGACAAAGTATTACTTCTTGGGTAATACGTGGTTTTCAAAATACTGACAAAGTTTCATGCTATGCCAATGCTACATTACAATGTTTACTTCATTTAATTATTATTAGAAAACAATTATTTAATTCTGTTAAACTAAATGTTTTAAATATATTAGCGCATCGATATGAAAACGGAATATGTACTTAATTTGAGTATCTACGCAGTACGAAAATATCTAGGGGAGTATTTTTCGACTGGTATTAAACGAGATGCATTTGATTTTGTTGTAGCTCTTTGTACTAAATATGATTTTATAGAAAATTTGGTTGAGCATCAAATTATTTCTACTTGTCGATGCATAACATGTGGTGATACAAAAGTTACTACTAATAATAATTTTATTTTCTCAATTTTTGTTAACACAATTCGAACAAGGAAAGTTTTAATCTTAACAATTTACTAAATACTTGATTTTCACATTGGTCTAAATAAAATAATAAATTATGTGAACGTTGTGAGGGAAATGATATATTATTTAAAAATTAAATAACATTGAGAGACGAAACAGATAATCATCCATTTAATTTCATTTTCATACCAAAATAGAACATAAGTGAAGGTGCCAAAAAAAATTAATGTATGTCCTCTTCCAAGAAGTGCAATACTAATAGCTGGACAGCCGTATAAAGTTATGAATGCTATATTTCACTATGGTTCATGTATCGAAAACGATCATTTTATAAGTATGTATAGAGAAGGTTCACCTTGGATTGAAGCTGATGATACGCAAGTTACAAAAAAGCAATGGCCTAGAGCTGCTAAAACCATTTCTACATTATTTTTAGAAAATGTTGATAATAAATATGTTGTAGTAATACGCACACGTGTGAAGAGATATATTATTAATCATATAAGAATATAAGATGTTTAACACTACAAAATGTATTGCGTGATATCTTAACAAAATTACCTTTTTAAAAAAAGATAAAAAAAAGGCGCCATGTACCTTCCATAAAAAACTGTACTTTACATAAACTAAAAAAAAAACCGTTACATAAATAATATAGTTCAAGTGGTAATGTTGTTAATTTTTTATTATAAATTACCCCTCAGTAATACGTATGCATGTATTAAAAAAGAAATAAAATCATATCTTTAAATTACGCCAATTGCAAAACGAATATATAATTTCTTGCAACATATAACATATACTATTGTATTTTGTAAATTGCGAAAAGAACATATATTTTATTGCAACATATAACATTTAATTAACGAGACAAAATGATACGTACCTTTATTTTTCTATTCAAGAGTCTTTTATATTTGCAATGGAAAACAACATTTAATCTAAAAAAAATTAAAGACGAAACATCACAAAATGAAAAAATTTTATTAAAATAAAATTTTTTATGTAAAAATATTTGGCGCTCTGCTAGACCTCAAAATATAATAAGATGATCATCAAATAATATCGAATAAAAAAAATAATGAAGAGATTTAAGTAAGAAAATGAGGTGGACTAACAATATACAGTGTGTGTGTGTGTGTGTGTGTGTGTGTGTGTGTGCGCGCGCGCGTGCGCGCGCGTGTGTGTGTGCGTGTGCGTACAAGCAAATAATTAAAAATACCATAAAATATGAAAAGTAATGAAGAGATTTAAGAAAGAGAATTAGTAATATACAGCGTGTTTATATGTGCGACCAGATTTAGATAGGTATGCAGCTTAGATTTAATATAGAATACGTATTTATATG